CCTTGTTTGTAATTTGTTGTTTTTCCCTTACTGCTTTTAATATCTTTTCTTTGTATTTAATTTTTGATAGTTTGAGTAATATGTGTCTTGGCGTGTTTCTACTTGGATTTATCCTGTATGGGACTCTCTGCACTTCCTGGACTTTATTGACTATTTCCTTCCCCATATTAGGGAAGTTTTCAGCTATAATCTTTTCTAATAGTTTCTCAGTCCCTTTCTTTTTCTCTTCTTCTTCTGGGACCCCTATAATTCGAATGTTTGTGCGTTTAATGTTGTCCCAGAGGTCTCTGAGACTGTTCTCAATTCTTTTCATTCTTTTTTCCTTATTCTGCTCTGCAGTAGTTATTTCCACTATTTTATCTTCCAGGTCCCTTATCTGTTCTTCTGTCTCAGTTATTCTGCTATTGATTCCTTCTAGAGAATTTTAAATTTCATTTATTGTGTTGTTCATCATTGTTTATTTTCTTTTTCGTTCTTCTAGCCCCTTGTTAAACGTTTCATGTATTTTTTCCATTCTATTTCCAAGATTTTGGATCATCTTTACTATTACTACTCTGAATTCTTTTTCAGGTAGACTTCCTATTTCCTGTTCATTTGTTAGGTCTGATGGGTGTTTACCTTGCTCCTTCATCTGCTGTGTGTTTCTCTGTCTTCTCATTTTGCTTAACTTACTGTGCTTGGGGTTTCCTTTTCGCAGGCTGCAGGTTCGTAGCTCCCATTGTTTTTGGTGTCTGTCCCCAGTGTGTAAGGTTGGTTCAGTGGATTGTGTAGGCTTCCTGGTGGATGGGACTGGTGCCTGTGTTCTGGTGGATGAGGCTGGATCTTGTCTTTCTGGTGGGCAGGACCACGTCCGGTGGTGTGTTTTGGGGTGTTTGTGACCTTATTATGATTTTAGAATAGAATGTTGTGAATTGTGATTCTTTCTAAATTAAATCACAGTGTATGTTTGATACATTTGTGGGGAGGAAGGTGATCTCCATGTCTAACTCCTCTGCCATCTTGAAGATCTCCCCCGGCACTTTCTTTTAAAAGGATTGACTTCAGTTTTCTTGTAAAAGTTTAATTTTATTTTGACATTTTGGATTGAATTCAAGGGTTTTAAATGGTAATTGTTTCTTGTGGTGTTATTTTTGGAAGAAATATAGAAAAAGTAACAATTCTTGCATTAATTGCAGGATGTAGTGAGAGAGTTATTAATTGTAAATGTTACAAATCTGAAGAGACACATCTACTGAAGAAATCTGGACAAAAACTATTCATGTCTGATTTAACCCTTAAAATTATGTCTTAAAATTGAGAGTGTTATAATTAATCACAACCTTACCTTGCCATAAGGACTTCTATATTCTTAGAGGGAAAATATGTAAAATTTTTTAAAAAAATTTATGCAAGCTAATTATTCATTTTCTTTCAAAATTGGTGGTATATTTGGAGAGAACTGTAATGTTTACTCCATTATGGCTTTTAAAGAGACTATTTTATTTTTCATCTGATCATACTAATTCTCTTCTTGTGATACCTCTCATAGATAAATCAAATTGACTCTTTTATTATTAAATATTCCCATTTATGTTCCATTTTGAATTAGTTATTGGACATGGAATTAAAGAATAAAATGTTGTGAATTGTGATTCTTTCTAAATTAAATCACAGTATGATGAAGACTATTAAATATTAATGAGCTATATCTGATATCAATAGGGGACATGATATCAGTAGGGGACAGCTTTGGAATGGTGTCAGTGATTTCAGCCCAATTGGCAATATATTTCATTTTGTTGTATTACAAAGAACACTAATTAGGCATGAGTATTTAAGCCATTAGATCAATGTTTTCAATTGTTTTCCACTGCTCAGTGATTAACTTAATATGCAATTCAGATCATTGTAAAAAATCTAACATAGATTACTTTATCAAACCTCAGGAGTCAGCCAATATCATTTTAAAACTCTGCTAAAGCATTATCAAATATTGCTCAAAGTAATTTAAAGCCCTGAAGAGGATTTCTTCAGAAATGTCATCTGCCCATAATTTTTCCCATTGATATTAAACTTAATTTTTGCATGTGTACACCATGAGAGGCCTAAGTGTATATTTATGAAATCATTGCCTATGGATAGTATGTGCAGCATATTCAATAGCTTAAAGTTCAAAGTTCTCTTACATGAAGCTGATATACTTGTTTGCTCTCCTATGCTTCAGCCTCTTTTAGGTGGAAATCAAAAAATGTCTTCATTCTGCTCTTTCCTATTTGTGCTGGAAGCAGATGTTAATATTTAATACACAATTTTCGTTAACCAGTAATTGGTAATAAAGACAAAATAATTTACTGTTTCAGGATTCCTCAGTGTTAACTAATTAAACCAGCCGCAGACCTGGAGCACAGGACAATGGCAAACTTTCAGATGAATTAATTTTATGGGAGACCAGCTGAGTAATTGGACTCCAATTACAGGCAGTTTAGTTCCATCATCACCTTCATATATAATTAAATTCAATTGGTTGATACAGCTTCTATTTTTATGAGGCCACTTACCAGCTTTTTGAACCCCACTGTGACTTTGGATTCAGGCCAATCAATTATTAGTCATTTCTCTTTCAAATGGAAATGCTCTGGATTAGTCATATCTTCCATTATGGCCACATTTAAAATATCTCTCTTTTAGTACGTTGTGGTATACTTGGATCTCTCTTTTTGCTTCTACACCAAAAGGATATTCATTTATGCTGAAATGTAATAAGATGAACACCCATAGGGCACGGCCATATGAATTTGAAGCCTGGCTGACATAACATCCTGTGTCATCTTGTTTGCAAATGAATCTTCTCCTTTTGGAAAACAGCAGGACAGGTCTCTCTCTCTCTCTCTCTCTCTCTCTCTTTATATATATATGTATATATATATATATATATTTTTTTTCTTTGCCAAAACTCATCTGGAAATCACTTTTGCTTAGTATTCCAAAGCTCAGATTATTTAATTCTCTTGAAAGTGACTTTTCTTGTGTTTTAGGAAATATATACCAATGCTACAACAAAACTGTTAAACATTTCTATAAAAAATCCATGTATATGTTCTGATAGATGGATTGGTCATAAGGTTTTGATCTGTGTGTGTGTAAATTTCCAATGTTTATGATTGTAAATGTTGAAAGTATTTTTTAGGACAGTGATTCTTGAGGACATATTTATTGGCACTTATTAATTATTCTAAAAGTTTAGATTTGCTTTATTTGTCTAGAAACAAATTCTTGGTAAAATGGAAAACATTTCTTTAAAAATCAGAATTATTTATGGGGAATAGTTTAGTTCATTCTAATCTAATCTGTTAAAATGATATAATTTATTGAACGAACAAGAAATGAATTATTTCTAAGACCTTATTATCAATCATAATTAAGTACACATTACTACACTGATAAGGCAGTTTTGACTACACTATGGATCGCGTACTTGTCCTTCTGTAGTGATTTTTAAACATAGTAATATATTATCAGTGGTAAAATAAAATTTAGCAGTTGTGAGGTGGTACCAGTAATAACCCTTCAAAATTAACTAAGATGACAAAATTACTTCCATTTCCATCTATGCAAAAGGAAGGCCATCACTTCACAAGAAAATAAATTGGAGAATCAAGGGAATGGTCTGAGATCAATTAAAGAAAACAATTTATTTTGACCAAACAACGCAAATAATGGAAACAGAAGCACTTCATTTTGTTGCCTTGTGTTTAGTTTGAAAGATTTTGAGCATTACTTGAAGTTTCCTTTTCTACCCTCTCTTTCTGGCTTCAATTTTATGAGCAAAATGCAGAGATCATACAGGCTCTACATGACCCCAAACAGGTAGATTTATGGTTGACCTATAATAAACTTTCTGAAAACGGGAGTATCAATAACAAGGGAAATGATTAAGCATCCCTCAATTTTTAATATGAAGTTAATTTTAACTTTTACTTCCTGAATTGTATTATAAATCTTGTCTTTGTTGCATTGTGTTGCATGGGTTAAACAGGGCATTAGAAGTGATATAGTTAAACCATTTTACAAATAAGAAAACTGAACACTCAAAAGATAAAGAACACATCGATATTTAGTCAGAAAACAGTCTCATTCAGATTTTTACAAACGGGTAGTGTTCATTCTACCATATTTTGTGTGACTCCAAATCTCATGAGTATTTTCTGCTTTGTGTTCATATCTGCATTGCAATGCATAATATTCATATGTCTAGTTAAATATTAGCCTATTATGGTAAAGACTTTTACATAGAATTTTTAAAAATAACTGGGAACTCCATTTTGAAGATATCCTTGTTTTCTTTAAATCTGTCTTTTTTCATGGGGGGCATAAAATAGTGAAAATGCCAAAGGACATTTTCATGTAGTCAGCAATGCTATCTAAATTTTTCTAAAATATGTAATCAATTTCCACTTTGATGTTTGTTTGTTTTTTTCCTATGCGAAACCAAAAAGGATGACTGGATAAATGCCCATTCAATCTAAACAAAACTAAGAGCAATATTTATCATTATGTAAGACAGGAAACACAATAATGTAAATTTTCATTTGCTGTTTAATCAAGGCAGGGTTGTTTTTACTTTGGGAGTCATCTTAAGTCACCAGTCTCATATTATAATATATAAAAAGGGCTCCTGATCATAGGGAAGCATTGACCTTTGCCTTCCCTCAGAACAGAATCAGCTTTCAGGTATCATCTGAATAAAGAGAATGTGTAATAAGACGTCTGTCTGTCTCTCTCGCTTCTCTAAGAAGAGTTTAACTGTGCTAACCAGCATCCCCCTCCAAACAGTACAACAAAAGCCTGTGTGTGCCCTGGTGTCAGCTTAACAAAGGGCTTTGAGAGCGCTGGCCTCCTGGGCAAAGAAGCACATCAATAACCCAGTGGGAAGTGGCACCGACAGAAGGTAAACATGGGTCAGTCCGGGAAAGCCTGGTGGGTGGTGGAGCACAGTTCTGCAGACACAATAAAGAGAATGACATCAGAGGGATTCGTCCTTCTTTTCAACCTGAATTCTCCGTTATTAACTACGGCATAACATCATATAGGCACAACAAAGGAAGACTCAGCCACTTTCAGCTGCACACAGATGGCAGACTCAGGGCTCCTGTGAGAACGGGTCAGTGCCCATTGTGTTGTGAGTTATTCAGCTCGGGGGGGGGGGGGGGGGAAGGGACACATAAATGTTCTGGTTTAAGTAAATATTATTCAGTCATGTATACCACTAGGTTTGCCCAATTCTCTGTCATTATTTATTAGGGACATGTGAACCCCAGGCGAGATTTCCAAAATTCTGGGCATAATTTTTCTGTCAAGGGTTGGCAAAAGAAAATAATATTATGTAGACATTGCATGTATGTCAAGGCATTTTTTTTTAACAGCTTAGCAGGAAATCATTAGCTTTTACTTCAACTGGATTTAATAAGACTCTATTGCAAGATAGTTCTTTTGATATTCATATTAAGTCAAAGAAATACACCTTTATTATTTTCCTATGTTAACTATAAAATAGAGGAAAACATAATTGGGAAATGATGATTCAATAGGTTGAATGAAATTCCATGACATCAGCAAAGTATCATATGGGGAGTCATTTCTGTGAGAATTCCAGCCTCTTTTTTTTTTTTTTTTTTTTTTTTTGGATTTTTACTTAGCCAGGCAAGTGGCATAACTCTTTAGACATTTGTGGATAATAAACAAAAGGTTTGGGGTAATGTCATTATACACAAAGCATCATTGTACCACATAAATTGAAAGCTCCACCCTGAGTATTAATTTAAATGTTTAAAACACATAAACATTTACTTTGAAGTGTTTATTAAAATTGTATATTTTAGTAACCTAATCAAATACATTTACCTCCGTGAAATCTACAAATTTAATATATTCCATTTTTCCCAATTCTATTCACTTAACAGGTAAGGAATAAACCAACTGACCTCCCTATACATCTAATAAATATTTTTTATTTTTAAAAATTTTTATTGGAGTTTACTCACTTTACAGCAACTGTACATCTAATAAATTATTTTTTTAAATTTAATTTTAAAAAATTTTTATTGGAGTATAGTTGCTTTACAATATTGTGTTAGTTTCTACTGTACAGCAAAGTGAATCAGCTATATGTATACATATATCCCCTCTTTTTGGATTTCCTTCCCATTTAGGTCACCACAGAGCATTGAGTAGAGTTCCCTGTGCTATATAGTAGGTTCTCATTAGTTATCTATTTTATACATAGTATCAATAGTGTATATATGTCAATCCCAATCTCCCAGTTCATCCCAACCCCCTTTCCCCCTTGGTATCCATACGCTTGTTCTCTATATATTTTTAATGAAATCATGCTTGACTGCATGTTTATTTTCTTTATACTGAAATAAATATCACTTTGGTTCCTATTGTATTTTTAAATATAGTGAAGTATTATAGTCATACTATGTTTTCAGGGCATCATGGCTATTATTTTATAGAACAATCTTGTCCCATCAATTTTTGTTTACTGTGGTAAGTGAATAAAATATCCCATGTTATATTTAAATGCATATCACAGCATAAATCTTAATAACCTAGCTCTACCTTGTAAAATCTACATAGGATATTTGAAAAATAGAATTTCAGAAATGAGAAGTAAATTCACGGCAGATTTTAAGGAAACTGTGAGTAGTTATCATTGTTAAATTTAAGTAATAAAATGAAACTTATGGAAATGTATGAATATGTTCAGAAGTATAGCAATATGAATATGTATTGAGATTTCCTACCAATTCAATTACTCTTTCCACCTCATCAATTAGGTAAAAGCTTAACTAAACAAATTAATATTGAGTAGTTTCCCGAAGGCCAAGGACCTTAGCTTTGTTGTAATGAAGAGGAAATGAGTTCCAGATAAGTGTGTCCTTTGGGGAAAATGGCAGAAGTTCAACTCTGAGGATCAGACAGGAGTGCCCTATTGATCTCTTTTCTCCAAAGGTGGATATCATGAAGGTAAGTAAGTAGTCTCTGAAGTAACTAGGGATTTAACTATCTTACAGGCCAAAATCAATATCTTTGAATTCTATAGTCAAGCAAATATGAGGTTCAACAGTAATATACAGATGCAGTCAGCTCATTAAGTAGAAAAAGAAGAATTATCTTAAAGTTTCAGTGAGAGACAGGGAGAAATGTTTTTTCCAATTATAATTTATGAGATATTTTGAAAACATAATTACTGTCATGTAGAAATTGTTCAAAGCAGATGGTAAACTTCAAGGTAATGAGAAAGTGTCATTCTGTATTTTTACCATTGCCTTCTTTAAAGGTCTTCTTAAAAACAAAAGCAGCACCATTAACTCACCGCTGCACTCCCCTTGCTTATTGCAACTGGAGAAAATGGCTGTCTACAATTTTGAGAAATCCAATTAGTGGAATGTTTTCAGTTTGAAAACCTTTGAGACCTATTACTTTCATTTCTTTATTTGTTCATTCATTTATTCATTAAATATTTATAGGAGTGAATAATATTTGCCAAGAATTGCTCAGACATTAGGAGTACAATATTGAATAAAATAAGAAATCCTCCATTTATGTGAAGAGGCAATTAGACGCGATACAAGATGAGCTTTTAACAAGTAAACAAATACATAATGTTAGTTATTAATTAGTGCTATGAAGGAAATCTGAAGGAAGCGAGGAAGGTTACATATATATAGGGAGGGGAAGTGGGTTCCAGGCAAAGAAAACAGTGAGGGCAAAGGCCCTGTGGCAGGAATTGCCTGGAGAAGTCAGGAAGCAGTGAGATGGCTGGAGTGACATGAAAACAAAGGAAGTCAGGGAAGACGGTGATTAAAGGGATGGGGTCAAGAGATGACGAGAGGCTAAGGCTAGATTGTGTAGGACTTTGAAGGTCAGATAAGGACTTTAGCACTTTCTCAGAGACGGAAATCCTTTAGAAGGTTCAGAAGGTCTGCATCTTAAATGGATCATTCAATTCTGTGAATAAAGCTACAGAGTGAGCTACAGAGGACAGAGGAGGTGATGAAAGATTGCTTTGAAATGTTATTAGAACGTGGATGAGCAGAGATAATTAAGAAAATATCAGGGAATTCCTTGGTAGTGCAGTGGTTAAGAATCCGCCTGCCAATGCAGGGGACACGGGTTCAAGCCCTGGTCTGGGAGGATCCCACATGCCGCGGAGCAACTAAGCTCGTGCGCCACAACTACTGAGCCTGCACTCTAGGGCCCACAAGCCACAACTGCTGAAGCCGGTGCACCTAGAGCCCTGTGACAGCTCAGCAACAAGAGAAGCCACTGAAATGAGAAACCCACACACCGCAATGAAGAATAACCTCCACTCTCTGCAACTAGAGAAAGCCCATGCACGGCAGCAAAGACCCAAGGCAGCCAAAATACATAAATAAATTTAAAAAAGAGAGAGAGAATATCAGAAAATGAAATTTAAAATAAATAAATGAAATGAACAAAGTCAAGTTGTTTCTCTGACCAGGGAAGGAACCTGTGCCCCTGCAGTAGAAGCATGGAGTCTTAACCACTGGACCACCGGGGAAGTCCAACATTTCATCTATAGTCTCATAACTTTTCATAATTTCCACCTATTTGACTTCCTGTCATTTTGGGGATAATTTCTTATGTTCTCTTTTCCAATTCACTAAACTTTTATCTAGCAGTATTTATCTGCTCTTAAACTGTTCCAATTTGTATATAATTATAGTTATTACATTTTTCATTTCTAGAAGTATTTATGAGCCCTCTTCTAAATTTATCTTGAAGAATAACAAATGACCAAGACTTACACTTTTAATCTCTTTGCTAATTGATTTAAACATGCTAAATATTCAAATGTCAATATTTTATTTTTATTCCAAATAATTTCATAATTGAGGTTTAGTTTCTGCTAGATCTCACCCATGGTAACTTGATTCTTGTGTTTCTGCCTGACTCATAGCTTTTCTCATATTTCTTGGTTCCTCTTTGAATTATTTTTTTTATCTGAATATCTGTCAAATTCTTACCAGGTCATTTTTACACTTTTATCCAACACTTTAAACAGGTTCAGCCAGAAGGTTTTGCTGGGTACTTATCTGCCATATTGGTCTAAACAGAAGACTTTACGTAACATCTACATTTCATTTCAGAAAATAATTGGCAAGTGTCCAATTCTGCATAATTGATAGATATTCACATAACTCTCACTAACAAAATTTGAGAAATATTTTCCTGTTAATAGAATCAACTTCAGACACATTATGGAATCAACAAAGCAAAATCTTCTTTTTCTAAATTTTCCTATCTTTTCAGTAATTTTTCTTGATTCTGGCTCAAATTTTTTTATCCAGTTCGTCTTCTTGCATGGGCAATATAGTCTCTCCTGATCACACCTATGTTAAGTGAACTGCTGTCATAAAAGGATTTGGTGCTTCCATTCACGTGAAGTTAAACACAGTTACTGATATTTACATGTCTTGCTTGGTTACAGGAAGTTTAGTACAGTGGACATGTTGTACTTTGTCAAATTGAGTAACTGAGAACTACATTTCCCAGAATGCCCTTGCCTGTGATAGAGCCAAGACCTTATCAAGCTCTGGGGCTGCTTCAGGTCCTGCGGCTGCTGTAGCTCATGTACTTTGTTCTGTCCTGTGGCTCACCTGGTTGGTGTGGGGAAGCAGCCGGGCCTCCTCTGTGATGGTTAATTTTATGTGTGAACTTGACTGTTGCTAAGACAACTGGTAAAACATTATTTCTTGGTGTGCCTGTGAGAATGTTTCTGGAAGAGACTAACATTTAAATTGATAGACTAAGTAAAGAAGATCACCCTCAGCAATGCAGGGGGGCCTCGTCCAGGTCATTGAGGGTTCAAATAGAACAAAAAGGCGGAGGAAGGGAGAATTTGTTCTTTTTGCTTGAGTTGGGACACCCATGTTCTCCTGCCCACAGACATTGGCTTTCTTGGTTCTCAGGCCATCGGACTCAAACAGGATTTATACCATTACCACCCCACCCTCATTCTTAAGCCTTTGAACTTGGACTGAGACTTATACCATTGACTTCCCTAGTTCTTAAGCCTTCAGACTAAGATTGAATTATACCCCTGGCTTCCCTGGTTCTCCAGCTTACAGACAC